CACACACACACACACACACACACACACACACACACACACACACACACACACACACACACACACACACACACACACTCCCTCCACCCCGATCTCCAACTCACAGCAGGGAAAGGGAGAAACAGAGAGAGAGAGAGAGAGAGAGAGAGAGAGAGAGAGAGAGAGAGAGAGAGAGAGAGAGAGAGAGAGAGAGAGAGAGAGAGAGAGAGAGAGAGAGAGAGAGAGAGGGGGGGGGGGGAGAGGGAGGGGGTAAAAGGAGAGAATTGATAGAGGATGGACTGAGTAAGAGGTGGGTGGCCACGCTCGCCATGATCGGCAAGCCCTTGCACCGGACCGCCCGCGCGCGGCCGAGTCCAGCACGTGGCCATATTTACTCGGACTCACAGCAGGCTCTTCGGCGACCACACGTGCCCGACGCTCGCTCCGCTGGCTGTCTGCTGCCGGACCGACAAGGGATGCGTGTCTGTGCATTACCGTGATTCTCTGTCTAACGAGCAGGGTAATAGCGACGATGCAAGCAAAAAAATGACTTAAAAAATATATATTAAATATTGATTGACGTTGTTTCATTGTTAAGGTTATGAGTGTTGCTCCTTTTATCATCATTATTGTTACTATCACTTTTACTATTGCTGCGATTTATTATTACCATTACTACTGCTATCATCTTCGCCATCGTCATCGTTATCATCATTATCATCATCATCACCATCATTATTATCATTAACATTATTATATTTACTGTTTTTTTATATTTTTTTATTACTATCATCATTATTATGATTATCAGCTTTTTTTTTCTTTTCCCTCCTCTTCTTCCTCCTCCTTTCCATCTTCTTCTCCCTCTTCTCCCTCCTCCTTTCCATCTTCTTCTCCCTCTTCTCCCTCCTCCTCTTCCTCTTCTCCTTCCTCTCCCTCCTCCTCTTCCTCTTCTCCTTCCTCTCCCTCCTCCTCTTCCTCTTCTCCTTCCTCTCCCTCCTCCTCTTCCTCTTCTCCTTCCTCTCCCTCCTCTTCTTCCTCCCCCTCCCCCCATCTCCCTAACACACATTTTAAAAACCCGGTCCGCGCGCACCGCCGGGGGCTCCCGAGAGGCAAGAGGCTTTCTACAACTGGCTGCGTTGCTATGATACCCTGGCCTCGTATCCTATACATGCTGGATTTACATGCGGACCCATTTTTATGTACGGTATCCCTTGTGTGTGTGTGTGTGTGTGTGTGTGTGTGTGTGTGTGTGTGTGTGTGTGTGTGTGTGTGTGTGTGTGTGTGTGTGTGTGTGTGTGTGTGTGTGTGTGTGTGTGTGTGTGTGTGTGTGTGTGTGTCTCTCTCTCTCGATATGCTTATGTATATCCCTGTAAGTTGTCATGTGGATGTGGATATGCATGAGGACGAAGACACGGACATGGAAGCGCGTTTCTCCGTAACTACAAACCTGGGGAACTTCTAAATAACTTCAAATCCCCCGCCGCCGCCAACTTCCCACGCGACAGAGGCCTCGTTAATGGAAATCGGTGACACGCGCTTCGCCATAACGAACGGCACATGCCATTCACTCGCGGCGGAGAGAATGTACGTCGATGCCACCACTACTATGGGTTTCCTACAGCCCACTCACTCACCCCTTCTCTTCTTCCTTTTCTCCTGGGCCTTCGATATATCCTCGCGCCTTTCTCTTTGTTCCCTCCTCTTTTCATCCTCTCTCTCTCTCTCTCTCTCTCTCTCTCTCTCTCTCTCTCTCTCTCTCTCTCTCTCTCTCTCTCTCTCTCTCTCTCTCATTCTCATTCTCATTCTCATTCTCATTCTCATTCTCATTCTCATTCTCATTCTCATTCTCATTCTCATTCTCATTCTCCCTCTCCCTTACCATCTCCCTCTCCCTTACCATCTCCCTATCCCTCTCCCTATCCCTCTCCCTCTCCCTATCCCTCTCCCTATCCCTATCCCTCTCCCTCTCCCTCTCCCTCTTTCTCCCTCACCTTCACCCTCTCCCTCACCATCTCACTCTCCCTCGCCCTCTCTCTCACCTTCACCCTCTCCCTCTCCCTCACCATCTCCCTCTCCCTTACCATCTCCCTCTTCCTCTCTCTCTTTCTCCCTCACCTTCACCCTCTCCCTAACCCTCTCCCACTCCCTCACCTTCAACCTCTCTCTCTCCCTCTCCCTCTCCCTCTCCCTCTCCCTCTTCCTCACCCACACCTACACCCTCTCCCTCTCCCCCACCCTCTCCCTCTCCCTCTCCTTCTCCCCCTCCCTCTCCCTCTTCCTCTCCCACACCCTCTCCCTCTCCCTTTCTTTCCCCCTTGAAAAGCCCCGAGAGTCCTTGGTTCCGAGCTTTGGAAAGGACTTTTCGGTGTTGAATAGGGCTTCCATTCCTTTTACCGTGTATTCAACTTTCAATGTAAAAGCATTTCTGACACCATGCGTTAGAGTAAAACTACCTACATTTCTGTCTATCTACTTGTTTGTGTTGTCTGTCTGTCTCTGTCTCTGTCTCTGTCTCTGTCTCTGTCTCTCTATATATATGTATATAAATATATAAATAAATAAATAAATAAATAAATATATATATATATATATATATATATATATATATATATATATATATATATATATATATATATATATATATACATATACATATATACATACTTATGCATGTATGCATGTGTGTGTATGTTTCTCTCCTTCTCTTTCCCCTTCTTCTCCTTCTTCTCCTTCTCCTTCTCCTCCTTCTCTTTCTCTTTCTCTTTCTCTTTCTCTTTCTCTTTCTCTTTCTCTTTCTCTTTCTC